GTATGAGTGATGGAAAATCGAAGTAACAGTGGTTTAAACAAGTTGCAGGTTTATTTCTCTTGTGTCAGTGTAGGTAATCCTGGGCAGAAAAAACAGTTATCAGAGACTGGTGCTCTCTCCACCTTGCTTCTCTACCATCCACAATAGGCATGGTCCGAAATTCTAGTTGAGAATAGCTTCTCCAGTTCCAGTGATCACATTGTCAGTCCAGCCAGCAGAAATAAGAAAGACGGAAAAGAGCACTTCCAGGAAGTTGCATGAACCTCCCCACTCATTAGAACTTGGTCATGGGGACACACCCAGCTCAAAGGAAGACTTGGAAAATGTAGTCTCTGTCCTGGATGGCCATGGGCTCAGCTAAAAGTGTGGTTCTTATTTCTTACAAGAAGGGATAAATGCATATTAGAAGACAACTACCCACCTATGCTACTTTGTATTTGCCATTTAACCATCTCAGGTTAATAAGGGCTAAGATTGGAAAAAAAAAGTTAGTAAAAGTGGCCTTATTGAGGTAAAAAAATGTATTTCTGAAGGATCAAAATTAGGCTATTAGCTAATGTGAGACTCTTTTTACTTTAACAGGTATATTGATTTTTGTGAATTGACTCTGAAATATTTAAAACATTGTTGATACTGTTACAAATAATTTTCTCATAAAAGAGTAATAAAAACAAAGTGGCATATAACACTCAGGGTACAGGCAACAAAAGATAAAATAAACAAATTGGACTCTAGTAAACTTTTGTTTATCAATGAACATAGTCAACAGAATGAAAAGGTGACTCAAGGAGTGGGAGAAAAACATTGGCATATTATATATCTGAAATGTGATAAAGAATATAGGAAGAAGTACAACTCACCCACAATGAAAAAAATCCCAAACAATCCAGTTTTAAAAATGGGCAAAGTATCTGAGTAGATATTTCTCCAAAGAAAATATACAAATGGTCAATAAGCATGTGAAAATATCCTCAACATCACTTACCATTAAATAAATGGAAATAAAAAATCGTAAGGTGTTACCACTTTTCCCCCATTAGGATGGCATTATAAAAAAAAATAAAGAAGGGATTGCAGAGGATGTGGAAAAACTGAACCTTTGTGCATTGCTGCTGGGAATGTAAAATGATGCAACTGTTGTGCAAAATGGCATGGAAATTCCTCAGGAAATTAAAAAGAGCATTATCATATGACTGAGCAATTTCACTATTGAGTATATACCTCAAAAAAAATTGAAAACAGTGTCATAGATATTTGTATACCCGTGCTCATAGCGGCACTATTTGCAACAGCTAAAAGATGGAAGCAACCCAAGTGTCCACCAATAAATGAATGGATGGACAAATGTACATTCATGCAATGGAATACATTCAATGTTAAAAGAAAGCAAATTCTGGTATACATGACTACATAGCTGGGCCTTGAAAACATTATGCTAAGTCAAATAAGGCAGTCACAAAAGATAAATCTTTTAAGGTTTTCCTTGAAGGTGGTTCCAGAGGAGTCAAATTCTTAAAAGTACATGGAGATTGACAAGGCCTGGGATGGGGATCCTAGTGGGTGTAGGATCAGTTTGGGAAAAGGCTCTAGAGTTGGATGGTGGTGATGGGTGCACAGCAATGTGAATGTACTTCATGCCACTGAAATGGAAATATTTAAAATGGTTAAATATATATATATAATGCAATATATATTACAATATATATTACAATAAAATGATTAAATATTCTGAAAGTGGGTATGCTTATACACATGCAGTTCTAATTCAAGATGTTTTCTTTAAGAATTTCGATTTTGCTTTGGAATTCTATCCCTTTAAAATGCCTTAAAACATACACAAAAGTAGAGAGAATATGTAGAGAAGCCCCACATATTCACTCAACATTAACACCTCAGTTTATCTTTTATTATAACTTTTTTTGGCAGTATTGGTGGGGTTTGAGCTCAGGGCCTTCTGTTCGTTAGATAGGTGTCCTCCACTTGAACCATGCTTCCAGCTCCCTTTTTTGTTTGGTTTTAGTTAGTTTTCAGATAGGGTCTTGCTTTTGCCAGGAACTGTGACCCTTCTATGACTCCTGCATAACTGGGATTACAGATGTGAAGCATATCATCCAGTTTGTTTGTTGAGATGGGGTAGAGGAATCTCACTTTTTGTCTGCACTGGCTTTGAGCCATTATTCTCCCAACCTCTGCCGCCCAAGTAGCTGAGATTATAGATATGAGCCACCACACCTGGCCAACACCTCAAGTTATAATAAAAAGAATTTCTTCTAGTGATTAGATCATCATTCTAAATATTGAATAGTATTTACTTTTACCCTTATATTCCAATGTTTTGAAAAGTCACCTATGGGCTTTTTATATTTGTGAACTGAGCTGGCAAAGGCTTAGAAAACCTAGTTATTACAAGGCCTGCCAAGTAATAGCATTGTACAAACCAGTGGTTGGCAAACCTTTTCTGTGAATGTTCAGATAGTAAATACAGTGCTTCTGAGAAACGCACTGCTAGATTTCATCACCAGGTAGTTGTGTTATTGTTCAAGCATTGTAAAGAGTGTTTACACAAACTCAGAGGACATAGCCTTTTGCTCCCAGGCTACAAGTCTGTGCAGTTTGTTACTGTACTGAGGACTGGTATTTGTGTATCTAAACACAGAAAGGTACAGTGACAGGACCAGATGATAGAAGTCATTCAGCTGCATTGTAAACTCATGAGCTCACTGTCTCAAATGCAGTCCATCACGAACCAAAATGTCATTACACAGTCCATGACTATATTTTAGGCTTTGTTGGACCACACTGGGCTTATTAACTAGTCTTCAGTGTTTTGTTTTTTAAACATCCTTGTTAAACAAACAAAAAACCTTGGCTTGTAGGACCACACAAAAAGGGCTGAAATTTTCTTTGTAGCCAGATTTGACTCACAAGCTGTCATTTGCTAATAGGGATCTATTAGATGGTGAAGTCCTGGCACCAAGCACAGTTCACAGACAAATGTGAACATCTGTTAAGACCAACTAAACTTGAGGGCAGCCAGCAGCCTCTGTCTGGGCCCAGCTTGACTTGAGTGAGTAGGCCTATTTTCTGAAACTCTGGGAGGGAAGATTTACAAGTGTCCTAGGAGACACAGAGAGTGAGAAATGAGGAAGAAACTTCCCCTAGAATAACCTCAGTTCCAAGTTCAGGGTATACATAAAATAAGTGAGGGGATTCATGGGTTCCTTTAAACTAGAAAAGCTAAATTACTGTCATCTACTAGCAATATAGATTGATGCAAACACTTTTGAAAGACAATCTGGAAACACCTAGCAAAGTTAAGTATGAGCTATCAAGACCCAGAAAGTCCACTCTCGTGGCATTCTTCCTGAAGAAATTCGTGTGTACCAGAAGTTATGTACAAGAATATTCACCTCATGCAGCCTGCTGTCCATCACAGACTCTGGTCACTTTATTAAATCCCAGCTCTGCCACTACACAGTTGTGTGACCTCAAACAAGTTACTCAGGTCTCTGTGCCTCATTTTTATTTTCAACATCTGTGGAGTGGGGATAATTATTTAATCCTCACAAGGTTATGGTAGGTATTTCATAAATTAATACATATGGAATTCCAAGCACATCTCAAATGCTGTATGTTCTAGCTAGTGTCAGAACTGTCATTATTACAGTGACTTAATAGTAACAACCAGAGATCAATTCAAACCTCCATCAACAGACTGGTAATGAGCAGTGGCATAGCCACACTATGGCATCCTGTGTAACATAGGAGTGAAAAGGACAAATTAGAGCTACATATATCAACATGTACAAATCTCAAAGACATAATGCTAAGAGAAAAATCCAGACACAGAGAACACACGTAGCATGATCTTATGTTGCAACATAAGCAAAATTAAATCCACTGTTAAGAGACACATCCACAGGTAGCAAGAGTACAAAGCAAGCAAAAGAATAGAAAAGAAATGAAACTCAGGGAGATGGGATTGGGAAAGATTTTCAGTGACTTTCATAAAAGTTCATAAATTTCCTTAAAGTTCCTAAATTGGGTGGTAAGTCTTGAGTGTTCATACATTATAAATATAGAACTATTAACCACAGTAAACCAAATGTTAAGATAAAATTGATATGGACAATGCTGGTGGAGTGGCTCAAGTGGTAGAGAGCCTGTCTAGCAAGCAGGAGGCCCTGAGTTCAAACCTCAGTTGTAGAAGGCCCATTTTCATTAGCACTCTATAGGCATGGCCCTGTAAACTGGGCACTGATGACTCACCCTTGTAATCTTAACTATTCAGGAGGCAGAGATCAGGAGATCATGGTTCGAAACCAGCCCCGGGGCAAATAGTTTGCAAGACCCTATCTTGAAAATACCCAACACAGAAAAGGGCTAGTAGAGAGGCTCAAGTGGTAGGGTGCCTGCCTTGTGAGTTTGAGACCCTGAGTTAAAACCCCAGTAGCGCCCCCCACCCTCCAAATTGATATGGAATCAACTAGGTTGCCTGAAATGCAGGAATTAAGAATTAAAACAAAAAGGAAATAGTTAAACATGCTCTGTAAGGCATTCACTAAGAAATTAAATTGGTTGAGTGGAGTTTGTCCTATAAAATACTTTCTGATGAAAATTTGTCAGTGCTGCTATAATTTTGATTAAATTGTCTTCCTAAATTCAAAGTCATTGTAACCTGGTGGTCACAATAGCCCGATCAAGTAATCCTGTGGATAATTAACAATACCTTAAAGATTCGATAAGCATTGAAATTAAATATTGATCTTTATGCATCCATAGGAAAAATGACGTTTCTGACAGGTGTCAAGAAAATCTAAATAGTCAAATAGTTAAAAAGTAAAATAGGAACAAAGCAACTCATCTCTAGAGACAAGAGAAATGGAAAAATATCAGGAAATACTGTGAGGCTCTAAGAAAGAAGAATAAATCCAACATCGTGACTGGGTGGTTACTTTGGTTTACTTTTCCCAAGTTTCAAATAAGCTGGTACATGTTGCTCAGGAGTGGACAAATCTGTGGACCACTTCACTTCCAAAAGCCACTGCATGCTTAGCTAGTTTCCTAGGACACAGTAAATATACTGCCTTCTGCACATCTTCAGGGGTGAGAGTACAGCGATTTCTTAAATGCATCTGGTGGTGGGCTTCCATAGCAATGCGTGCAAAGATGTCATTGATCAGGATGTTCATGACGTTGAAGGTACGAGATGATATGCCCCCATGGGGAACAACTTCCTTGAGGACCTTGTTTACATAGAGTGAATAGTTTCTATGGCCAAAATGGACTCTGCAATATGACTTCTTTCTGTAGATTGAGCTTACATGTCGTCTGATGGATCTGTGCTTTTGGATGACGGATCTGGCCATTGTAGGTGTTGTTCCCCTTCTCAGTTAGGCATGGAGAGGAGAAGGGCCAAAGAATGATGGGGAGCTCTTGTATTTATAGTGACATGTCACAGTCTGCTGCCAGGGCTTCTCTTTGATTGGTGGTTTCATTTTCTATGTCATAATCACTTAGCAACAGCACAGATGGGTTGTTAAGGGTAAGTCCAATCTCAGCCAATTTAAGGCTTTCATAAGAAAATAAAGGGAGGGTGGCAGAAGGATTAGTCTGACTTCAGGCAGACAGGAAGAGTTCTCATTTTTTAAAAATTTTTCTTAGCAATTCGCAAGCATCCTATATAATAGTCTCAGAATTGGACACAACCAAATCAAATGGGGAGGAGGTTGGTATAATAAAAGTGTGGCTAATTTATAATAAATTGTTTAATAAGAGATATAAATATTTTTATTATACTGAACTTCGCAGTAAGGCTGCACTATATGTAATTTCTGGAAAGCTGTCTGTTATTCTTCCTTCTTTTCTCCCACTCAAATCTGAAATGAGGCAAGAGGTTGTTATGGGGATAACTTTGAACTGGCTCTAATTTCTGAAGGCAACAGCTGTCATGTGTATATGTCACACTATTGCTAGTCACACATCTCGGCCTACTGCCTCTACTCTACTTCAGGGTGACAGCTTGTTAGTCAGCTCTTGCTAATTTTGCTTACAGGCTTCTCCAGATATAATTACTTAGTTTGCTTAATTACAGCATAGCTTTATTTGCTACCATTTAGATGTAATGATCAGGTGAAGAGCATTCATTCCCTCCTCCTCACCTATCCATGTTAAAGAGTTGCCCCCAGAGTCACTCTCCTGTCCTCTCTTTCCCCCTCACTCCTTCCTGAGACACACGACTTACTTAGTTGAGAAAGTGGATTGGCAAGGCAGTCAGGCCTATGCAGCCCTTTCTGGATTCTCATAGGGTTTGTCTGTGGGTAGCTCCATGTTAGGGAATGAATCATTCTTTTAAAAAATTGTTTTATTCTTGAATTAGCACATAATAAAATGAGGGGATTTCATTGTGAGAATTCCATACATGCATGAAATATACTTTGAACACGTTCACCCCCTCCATTATATTTCCATTCTCTCCTTCCCTCCTCCCCCATTTGTCAGTATTTGGTGGGTTTCATTATTACCATCTTCATATGTGCATATGAAACCTCCTTTGATCCTCTTCACCACCCAGTAGCCTTTCCTTTCCTCCTCCCCTTCATGCTGATCCCCCTGATAGTCCTCCATTTACATTCATGTCTTATTATTAACATCATCAACAATATTGTTTTAGATTCAGGTTCCACAAATGAGTGAGAACATGCAATATTTGGCCTTTTGAGCTTGGCTTATCTCACTCAGTGTGATCTCTAGTTCCATCCATTTTCCTGCAAATGACATAATTTCATTTTTCTTTACTGCTGAATAATACTCCATGATATTATACAACAGAGCCATAGTAACAAAGACAGCATGTTACTAGCACAAAGATGAGAAATGCAACGGAATAGAATAGAAGACCCAGGAATGCAACCACACAACTACAGCCATCTCATCTTTGATAAAGGAGCCAAAGACATACATTGGAGAAAAGACAGCTTCTTCAACAAATGGTGCTGGGAAAACTCTGGCTATCTATATGCAGAAGACTGAGACTAGATCCCTGTCTCTCACCCTGTACAATAATCACTTCTAAGTGGATAAAAGATTTTTTTTTTTTTTTTTTGCGGTACTGGGGTTTGAACTCACGGCCTACACCTTGAGCCACTCCACCAGTCCATTTTGTGATTTTTTTTTGAGATAAGGTCTCTTGAGCTGGTTTTGAACTGTGAGCCTGATCTCTACCTCCTGAGTAGTGAGGATCACAGGCATGAGCCAGTGGCGCCTAGCTTGGATCAAAGATCTTACTGTGAGACCTAAAACTTTGAAACTACTACAGAAAAAGAAATAGGGATAACTCTGCAAGATATAGGCATACATAATTATTTTCTAATGGACTCCAATTGCCCAGGAAATAAGAGCAAAAACTGACATATAGGACTTCATCAAATTAAAAGTTTCTGCACATCAAAAGAAACACTAGAATCAAGAAACAATGTGCAGGATGGGAGAAAATCTTCTCCAGATATTCAATAGATAAGGGATTAATATCTCAAATATACAAAGAGCTCAAAAAATTAAATAGCAAAAGAACAAATAATTCAATTAACAAATGGGCAAACAAATTAGATAGTTTTCAGAAGGAGAAATACAAAATACTAATAACTACATAATGAAATGTTCAACATCTTTAGCCATAAAGGAAATGTAAATCAAAAGTACACTGAGATTCCATCTCATCCCAATCAGACTGGCAATCATCAAGAAAACAAACAACAACAAATGCTGGTGAGGATGGGGGTGGTGGATGGGGGTTGGGGGAGTGTTAGGAACCCTCCTACACTATTGGTGGGAATGTAAACTAGTTCAACCACTATGGAAATTAGTATGGCTTTCCCTCAAAAAACTGAAAAATAGACTTATCTACTGACTCTGCCATATCACTTGGGCATGTGTCTGAAGGAGTGTAAATCAACATACAGGGGAGACACCTGCACACCATGCTTATTGCTGCACTCTTCACAATAGTCAAATTGTGGAAACAGCTGGGGTGCCCAAAAACCAATGAATGGATAATGGATTACTCTTTGTTAGCATCTGGTGGTTGAGTAGTTCATTGCCTTTAATTCTTCCATGCTATGTTAGGAAGTCTATTGTGCCACATTTCAAGGCTGTTTTTAAAATAGTGGGTCAGTAAGAAAGCTGACATTTTGATCTCTGTCTTTCAGGTTTCTTTACTCAGTTGGTTCTGTGCTTGGGTGGGGAGAAGGAAGGGTACAGTATATCACTGTGGCTAAAATAAAAGAGATTTTAAAGCCCCAAATAAAAGCTATAAATGAAAATACTGATTGAGGAGCAAGGTCAGAAAATGAGGCGTTTTGACTCTATAAAATTTCTGGCTAAGTTTGGGTTAATCCAAATTCTCTTTTAACCTTTAATCAGTATGTATGCGTTCACTACTGATAACACTCGTTTTCTTTAGACACTGGAGTAGGAGTTGTATGGGCACCAGGGAAGGGGTGAAGAGAGAAGGAAGAAAAAGGCTAGAGTGAGGGAGGTGAGTAATGAAGGGTGTCAGTGGAAGAGCATGACACATGCTTTCTGATCATGGGACTCTGGGGTCTGAGACATAGAGAAGCCTACTTGTTTCTGAGCATTGTAGATGGCAGCATCTGAAAAGTTCTTCCCGTGTTTGGCAAGGAAGAGACTGAGAAGAACCTGGGAGAGTAGAACCAGGCACCTGTCCTCTTTGCTATGGAGGCCACTTTAGTGCTGACCTGTGTTATATTTCCATGTTTGAGGAGGAATAAAACAAAGAAGTGCTCCATGCTACCCATTCCTCATTGGTCAACAATCTTCTAACCTGCACTATTTCTCTTTGATTTGACTTTCTTTCTCTGGAAACAGAAGGTTAATTCCCCTAACCTCACTAATGCAGAGCCTTCTTCCTCTCATCCCAGTCACCTGTGTCCTACTTTGGCTAATCTGAAAGCTGGGTCATTGTTCTTAGGTAACCTAAGACAGAGAGAAAAAGATTGGATTAGCTTTCCTCAGAGTAAGAACATAATGAAGGATTTAGCTTTGACCTTGAGCAGAAAGTCATCAGTCCTGGTGAGGCTCCTGATGACTCTCACATTCTTTAACATGAAACAGAACAGGTATTGGAATAAGAGAAAACTTAATTTTGTTTTGAGTTCTGTTTATGTTTTACAGTAAAACATTAATTAACTAAAAAGCAATTATTGCCCCCCAAATCAATAACCTTATTGCAAATGGATGTAAAATGTAATATGAAATGGATCTTTCTCTTACTATATAAAGAGTATCCTTGTTAAGCACAAAGAATTGGAATAAAATTTGCCTAAGATCACATGCTTGGGAAGTTGTAGATCCAGGAGATAAACTGAGGCCTGTCAGACTTTCAAACTGGAGCCCTTAACCACTGTACCACACTGCTTCCCATTGATTTGTCCAAGGGGAGGATGTATTAAGTGGGAGGAAAAAAATGAATAACAGCATGGAATCACAAGGTGTTTCAAGAATGCAGGGAAAACTGTCTTGCTAAGAGTGGAGGGAGTGCATGTGAGAGTGACAAGTGAAAAGGTATAGTGGGCTCAGTTTAAAAAGATTTCTTACCATGTAGTCCAAGATGTTAAAATTATTCTATGAATATTTTAGGGTCACCAAGAATTCGAAGCATGTAATTAATTAATTGGCTTAAAGGGATGTTTTGAGAGAATTGACTTGGTGCTGTGTACAGGAAGGTTTAGAAGCAGAAAGGAGACAAGAGAGCCCATTAAGGCCATTGCTCAGTGGCCCAAGAGTAGGATGGTGGAGGCCTGAACGGGAGGTAGGGGAATAGGAGGAAGGAGTCATTTCTGCAAAACAGATCAATAAGACTGATACTTGGTTCACTACTTGGGGCAGAGGAGAAGGAAAGCTTGAAAAGCATGCAGACATTTTTGGAGCACTGACTCTGGGTTTGACACTGTTCTCAGTATTTTCCAGGGAGCAGTGCAGTTCTCACAGCCACCCCATGACACAGGTATATCAGCACCTCCTTTTCACAAGTGAGGAAACCTGGCTTGTGTCAGCTCACACAGATCGTTAGTAGCAGAGCTAGAATTTGAACCCAAGCATCTGGATCAATCAGGGTCCATGTTGTTTCTTCTTGGCCAATCTACTTCTTTCAAAATCCCTTTAGTGTATGGTGCTCTATGTGCTAAATGTGCCTGAGGAGGGATGGCATCTTGTCTGAGCATCCTAAGAGTCCAGGCAAGGGGGTTCTTTTTGCCTCACAACAGTAAATGGTGCTGTCAATGATTAAGTGTCAGAATTGCGACTTGAACCCAGATCTTCTCCCTCCATCTCCAATGCTCTGGGCAAAGCC